AGTGGAGTCTGTGGATTAATCGCTTTTGCGCTCATAGTTCTTGTTATAAGCCGAATGCGTATACTCTTGGAGGGTTAGTGAACCACACACAATAGATACAGTCCTCCCCCCACCGCGGTATAGCTGCCAAATCAAGATATCTAGGATGTTGCCTCGTGCGTTATTCAGTGTACGCCTCATACACCTGCATTTCATTAAACAGTCAACAGGTTGTCGATACCATTATTTGATTCTATGACACAGTTGTTACCGAAAAGAAATGCACATTATCAGTGTTGGAAAATCTCAATTCTCATTTTTTATTTCAACACGTAAACAATTACACAGAACTGGCAAATGTGCTACAACATATGAAAAAAAATCTGTTCAGTGTTTCCATATGTTGTGTGGGTNCAGTCCACTGGGGGCCGTGTCCACTTCACTGGATTATACGCCATTTGGATGGGGTTAAACGTCCCAGGTGCCCAATACAACTTGATGCGCAATCGAGCCGGTGACTACTGCCATAACCAGGAAGCTGTATGTGGTTCGTATGCCTCTTCTTGGTTGGTTTGTAATCAGGGTTTTTGGCCAACTCCCTGAGGTGCACTGCTAATGGTTCATCAACCCGATGATAGCCACGGATGTCGGCTTTTCGTCCTCTCACTTTGATGGAAAAACTACTACACCGCGAGAAGGCCATGAGTGGGTCTTCTTCAGCAGAGGCTATTTGAGACGTTTGGTCTAATGGGAGCATTTCGTAAGTTGTAAGGAAATGGTAATCGGCTTCAACCTGAGACACTCATCCCGACCATACTGACCAGGCTTTCGGATGCTCATGTGAGGAAAAGGGACAAGTAAAGGGGAGGTTAGACGGAAAAATACCCCGTCCACAAAGCCGTATACAACCGATCGCGGATTGTGGTGGCTGGGGTATGTGATTTCACCGGACAGGCCTTCTCTGGGACCGACGTTTATGGAGCTAGATATTGGATGGAAGAAGATCAGTGGTGACAAACTGTGACCGGGCTTGAGGGATTGAAAATCGACCAAAAACGTGATCCAATAGGTCGTAGCAAGCTGATTAGGTGATTTCCTCGAGTTCGGCTAACAGTAGCGCACCTGTTTCTACTCAGACTTCACGCAAAACTGATGTATCGGCCTTGTCTATCTGTCCCTTGGTACTGCTCTCCGTTTTTGACCTTTCCTTCGTGTTTAACCAGCTGAGTTACTGGAATTATCAGATAACACCGGTGCGCATATGGGCAAGGTTAATGTTAGAACGAGTGTAAAATCTTGGAAAAATGTTGTTGATTATCGATCCCTCGGGATGTATGAAGCGATTTCTTGATTTGCCTTGAATTCACAATCCCAGTGCAATAATTGCTTTTAACTACACAACTATGAAAGTATATGAAAGCGAGATTCCCACCTAATTGAACGGTGTTCAGTTCATATAGGTCACCTGATCGATTTTTTGCGTGTACATGCGTGCATACTGTCCCGAATATTGGTCAACATCGATCATGCTCTCTCCGGTACGGGAGAGGTTCCCCGAACGTCCAATCACATATCACAAACACTGGGGCGGGATGGGGTGGGGATAAGATGCACACACCACTGAAGAGCTACAAACAACTGGTGGCTTGCGTGCACATTCAAAAACCATAGGGAATACTGGTCATGCGCTAAAACCCTACTGGCTTCAAGGTCATAAAACGGACCAATCACAAAGCGGATGCTGTTGCTGTTGTTGTTCGAACTATAACATGTACCGGCGGCAACGGCGGCGGCGGCGGCGGCGAGGTGAAAACATTTGAAAAAAGAAAAATTTAGTAAAACTCGGGCATCGGCTAACAGTTTCAGGGCTGTAAACACGAGTAACTTTTGTGTGATTGATGCCCATAAACTTCGTTTACGCCCACGACCGGTCTTTATAAAGCATGGCGTCGNAACGATCATGGATGTAGTACGCGATATGCGGCGGCAGTCCACTTTTCGGAGGGCTTCGAATTTCAACATTGACGTACGTGATTATGTTCCTTTTGTATGAGGAACCATGTGATTTTTCATTTGAATAAAGATTTTTCGAAAAGTCAATTGTGTATTTGAAATTGTAGCAGTTATTAAAAACATGTACGAAGATAATGATCGAATTTTTCATTCCTTTTTTACCAACTGAATATGTTGAATCACATGAGAAACACCTTGATGAAGCTTCTATGGAGGCTATCTGCCATGTATCAAAGTATTTTAAAAATACGTAGTAAATTGGTATATTTTAGGGCTATAATAATTTCCTCCCCTATCCATATGATCTTAATAATGTGAAATTTTATGCAAAGCAAACAGTATGATATTGTTCACATTGAGCATGAAACGGTTCAACCTGTAATCTGGCTACCATTGGACTGAAAATTCATGCTTAAACTGCATATGGATGTATAACAACTATATTCAAATCAATGGTTTGGGGAACATTCCTGAACCCGGGGATAGTTGATGCTATTCGCTGCTAGATCTGTTTAAGATATCCGGTTTTCTAGCTCTGCATGTTTCATCTCATGAAATTCAGTGCGCCAAATATACCCAGTCCTCTTAGCTTCTTGATATTAGATTCTTCCGTTGGTCGTTGCCTACGTTTCAGCAACTTATTTTGATGTTTTATATCTTCATTAAATCATCACGAATTGGAGTGTGTATTCTGAAGGGTTGTGTGCTCACTTTGCACAGTTCTGATTTTCTGCGGGGTGGGGGGGGAGTTATTCACTTTAATTATCCTGAGCACTCTATACCATGGGTTTTCACGCCCTCAGTACCGATAAAAATGCAATGTAAAATTATGCATCGTTTTGTTTGCGAAATTTTGGACATGCTGAACAAAAGTTTGTGAATAAATGACTTTAGATTATCTGTGCATTAGTCAGTTGTAAGAATGGTAGTTTCCAATATATTTATCGAAATCGATAATGCTAATTTCATGGATACAGCGTATTTCGTATAAACGATTTCAACAGGAACAGTTCGTAATTAAAAAGGTTTCTCATCGATCAAGTATTTGAGAATCGCTATTTTTCGGTCTACTTAACACGGAGCAGCAATTGACTGCAAGTTAGCACTATATACAGATTTAATACCTGAGGCCATCTGTCGTGTTGTACTCATGCTCTTGTACATCATGAAAGGATGAAGTAACTGCTTTTAAAATTTCCTTTTATATGTTAAATAAATAAAGCTATACTTTCTCCACCGCATTGTCATTGACATTATTCTGAATGTTCATACATATTTCGTATAATTTAGTGGGGATTAAGTGTTGTAATGTCATTCATGTTTTAGGCAATACTCATGCTTAGCTTTACACAAACATATTTAAAACTTGCAGTATTTTTTTAATTCAAGAGCGAGAACTGGGAAAAGCTTTTGAGATTTCGATAGAATTTGGTCATGAAAAATTTATTTTTTAAACTTGTGTTATTTTCCTAAATTTTCTGATGATAAACACCCCACTTTCGCCAATTTTCATCTCTTTCCCATATGATACTATGAAGTTTAGCATTTATGCCTTTTTCTCCAAAAACAGTAAAATACAATTTCTAATTCAAACTGTACTACACATGTGTTCTTTGATTCCCAATCCGCACAGTTTCTGATCACACGTCTTCCGGATAAGTTGCTGCTACGGGTTTTTGCCTATCTGTCACACGTCGAACTATGCACAATCGCACGCGTATGCAAACAGTGGAGACGATTGGCCTACGATTCCTCTTTGTGGCAAGCACTGAATCTGCGACTGGAGTACGGCGGGATTTTTGTGAGTGCCCAACCCTGTGCATTCGGGGTTTGCTTTCCAGTGTCCGTGTTTCTTTTCTCACTCGCTTTCGTTCGTGTTCATTTTAAATAACCGTCAAACTGACCTTTTTCAGCCAAGCGTGATTTCTATGGTTTGAACATCAGTGTTGAGAATGTCTAACTTCTAAACACCGCTAACTGATGCGTGCATAATCCTCCTCCCAGTTGAAATAATCTTATGCGGAAAATATTGGACAATGAAGACATTGCCATTCGACCGGAAAGCGTTGACATTTGGAGAGATTTCGGAGACAAATCAGTTTCAATAACCTTGCAGTTATCCTAAGTGCTTGAAACCTCTAGGACTGGTTGATCCGAGTTAATTAGAGGGTTTGAATCGGCCGTAACTCCGGTCCCTGCCAGTGCTTGAACTGACCAACAATCTGGGGTGGTACTGTTTGATGCGGTCGCACATACTCCGCACCCTCTGCATCGTAATAGGCGAAGGATTCTTGCCGACAAGAGCAACGGACAATTTCGTTGGACAGTTCTGATACCTTAATGGAATGACCAAAACGAGGGCTTTGTCAAGTTCAACAGATATTCAGTAAAGTAACAAGGTTTCATAATGCTCCTCGTGGCCTTTTCTGAATGTTTTTGTAAGTTATGAAAATCGGTTATCACAAACATTTCCATCGCATTTAAATGCATCCAAATAGTGGGGAGTTACCGATCTCCCAAGGAATGAAACCCACACCCAAGACCATCAAGAGTGCCTCTGGTGCCCGTGAAAAACGAAACATTCACCGTCTAGGCTACTGGAGTGTTCGCGTCCTCATTCAACAAATGCTTTTGCAAATTTTTATTTTGTACAATGTTTGTGTATCCGTTTTTCAGTCTTAACTTGGTAGACCGACAAAGGATTGAATTATTCATCAACGTTTGCGATCATATTTTTCCTTAGTCAATAGCAAATTGTAGTCTCTTCTCTAACCACGTGTTTGTAAATGTAGGCTAAAATCTATTTTTACGTGTTATTCCGGGGATTTATTTACGAAGCAGGTTTACCCAAAACTTTGCCGTCACACTTAATGGAGGTTTTCTGGAGTTCTATTGAATCTATCGCTTCAACCATTAGCGTGTTATGAGATGAATGGAGGATTTGATTTGATTAGATCACTAATCCATCATCCCAACTGTGGATCAGACGCGGGATCTCACAGGCAGACCGTAAGGATCCTACACCCTCAGCCACCGGGCAACTGATTAGACCGTTTCTCACTTGGAATACACACAATTAAGCACAACCCATTTTTGCGAGCTTGTTAGGGGTTGTGAAAGCTTCCAACCGAGTCATAACCCTAGAGGGAGATGAGCGAGGTCCCCTTGAAAGATTTGTGAAAATCAGTCTCTTTTAGAACTGCTTGACACAGGAATAATACAAACTTATTTCACTTGAGGGATTCCAAATTAAAATTCTAGATGGTCTGGTGGATACTCGTTAATAATGAGATCTAACGAGAGCGAACAGCAAGCGAGATACTTTCTTCTTGAACAGAGGAATTGCAGATGTTTAAATTTCAGTTATTAAAGATTTTCGTGAAAATTGGCAAATGACTTTGAGTTGAAGCTTAACTAGCTGAACTGTTACAATACAAACGACCCAGGTCCTTGGGGGTGAGTTGCGCACACTTTATTCTGTTTGGGGCTTGATCAAATCTCATCTTGATCCTTATCTCTTTGTCGGACTTCACTGGTTCTGGCTCAGAGAAGTAAAACAACCCAATTCGCATCTTGTTTCTTTTTTATTGCACCCTCCTCAGGTTCGGTCAATCGATGACTTGCTCAACCTGATCCACCAACGTTCCGGAAGTGGCCTACGACGTATTGAATTATCCAGTGACTTCATCACAATCCCCGTCCTAGAGGAGTTGGGCAACCGATGTCCAAGTTTACGCTCATTGACTTTGGATTTCAGCAATGCAATGCAACTGCACGACTTTAACGAACTCGCAGCCTTTCCGTCCTCGTTGCACTATTTGTGCATTTGTCTAAGTGATGTGATTTTCATGGAAGGTCTGATGCGCAAAATCTACTCGTGTCTCTCATCAGTGGAAATATTACATCTTATTGGTAAGTTTTGTTGGACGGTGAGTGGCTCTAATATGAATGATTGAAAAATAAGTTTGTATATGACAAACCGTGGATGGGCTGTAATCGCATTTTAGGTAGTTGCTTTGTTCAGTCCTCCGGAACCCACTGTAATGTCAGCTATCTTCTTATTCCATCCGCAATGCTATTCATTTTCCATGAGTATTTCTTAGGTTGTAAAACGTTTGTGCACTGTATTCAGATGTGTGTCAGGATCCCACTGAAGCAAACCAGGTTAGACGTGTGTGATTCCCCGTCGAATCGAACTTGGAGCCATTATTGGGACACGTTCCATTTACAGATAGGCAGATATATAAACACAAATATTCCCTATCTTGTTAGACACACAATTCACTACATCTGTTCTTGAAACTTCCGTCTTTAGGAGGTCAATTCAATTGCTTTTGGAAGGAAGTTGAATGGTTGGCATCAAAACCTCGTGCTATGATCTTTCCGTTGTATCTAAATCCAAGTTTTTTCCACAGAAATACTTACTTATTTTGTATATTTCAAAATTGTCCAAATTATGTTGTTTAGCAGATTGAAGTCATGTGTTTGAATTGTGGCAAGCTCAGATCTTTTGTTTTATAGCGAATGATAGGACATGCTAACATCTCGCAGTATTTGTCTTTTCTCGGTTTTTGATGAAGCTCAGTAACCTCGCTAGTGGTATTTGAGTCCACGCCCCGTCGACGCCGCCTACGTGTCTTTTGTGCGGAGCGTGCTCGGGCTGGCCGCGTAACTCGGCTGGCAGAGTGTTCATGTGTGGTTTTGAAACACACCGAGGCTACTGAAATTTTCACAATTTAAGTATCGCAAACTGAAAACATGTTAATTAAAAGCCAAACAATATGGCGAACAAACATGTTTTCGTAACTTCGTCTTCGGGCCTTTTCAATTACCGTATTTTTCGGACCATAAGGCGCACCGGATTATAGGACGCAGTATCAATGAACGGATCCATTTTCATATATAAGACGCACCGGATTATAAGACGCATAAAGCGAAACAAAATAGTCGGATAGGTCAGACTTTATTCAAATCATTAACAATAACTGTCAATATTACACAAAAAAGTACACACACTTTTAAATCATTCCTCTTCTACGAATCCATCAAATTCCTCGTCTTCGGTGTCGGAATTTAACAGTTGGGCGATAGCGGCATCAAGCAAGCCCGGATTCCTCTCGTCATCGTCCGATTCAGTCTCATTGCTGTTGCTTGGCTGTTCATTGATGATTCCAGCCTTCGTGAAAGCTCGGACG